CCTCTGACCCCACAGCTGAGCTCTGGGACCAAGGTTTTGGCCACGCTGTGCGGCCGCGAGAGCACGGACACCGAGCGCGCGCCCGGCAACGAGACCTTCTACTCACCCGGCCCAGGCCTGGACGTCACCTTCCACTCGGACTATTCCAACGAGAAGCCCTTCACGGGCTTCGAAGCCTTCTACGCCGCGGAGGGTGAGCGGGGGCCAGGCCAACCTGGCCCCAGTCCTCAGCCCCCCACCGCCACAAAGAACCCTTGGCCCTGGGGATCTGGACCTGAGGCTGAGGGCCCGCGCTGTTGGGAAACCAAAGGTCAGCAGGCTTTGCAGCTGACGCTTTCCTGTTATTTGGTTTTGGAGACCCGGTCCTGCTCTGAAGCCCAGGCTGGGCTCAAATTTGAGCTCCTCCTGACTCAGCTTCTTGAGTTCTGGGGTAGCAGCCATGCACACATTGCTTGGCTCCTTTTACTAGTTTGGTGGCTTCAGGCAGGACACTTAATCTTTCATTGATTTAAAAAAGTTGTACCAGGGCTGGGGATTTAGCTCAGTGGTTCTGCCGCCTGCCTCATAAGCGCAAGGACCTGAGTTCGATTCCCCAGTCAAAAAAAAAAAAAAAGTTGTACCAGGCGTGGTGCTGCACACCTGTAATACAAGGAGGATCTTGAGTTTGAGACCAGCCTGGGCTACACAGGAGACCATGTCTCAAAAACCCCCAAAAACAAAGCAAATGAAAGTTGTATTTAGGTCTCTGGACCCCAAGACTGTGAAAGGCTCAGCCCAGCACCACTGAGGTGCTGGTTGGCCACTGAGACCATCGGACCCAGAGTCCCAGGCCAGGCCCGGACCCTTCCCAGCTCCTTCTCCTGACTGCCTGCCTGGCCCACCTCTCCCCCAGACATCGACGAGTGCCAAGTGTCCCCTGGGGAGGCCCCACCCTGTGATCACCACTGTCACAACTACCTGGGTGGCTTCTACTGCTCCTGCCGGGCAGGCTACATCCTGCACCAAAACAAGCGCACCTGCTCAGGTGAGGGGGACAGCCCTGGCCCCCACCCTGCCCAGCATGCCCCACGCCCCCGGGAATCTCAGGGAGGCAGTGCTCAGAGCCCCATGGCCCAGCCCAGGGCCTGACCCTTTGATGCAGCCCTGCCAGGCGCCTGGACAACCGGTGCCCGGGGAGCTGGCCCTGGCCTGTGTCTCTGCTCGGTGTCCCCCAGGCCCCATCTTTCTTCCAGAGTGGACCCTCTGACGTGCCTGGCTCCAGCCTGCCCTGGCCCGTGGGTCAGAAGCCAGGTGACCCCACGGGCTGCAGCTGAGTCAGGCGAGAGCCTGGCTGCCCACAGTGCCCCCCAACTGTCCCCAGCCACCACCCACAATAAACCTGGCCCCCTGCACCATGCCTGTTTGTCTCTGGGGATGCTCGGGTAGGACAAAGAGGACCGTAGCCCCCTTCTTCAGCAGCCCGAGGGACCCCAGCTTGGTGGGGCTCTTCCAGCACCCCAATTTGAGATGAGGCCCACACAGAGACCCAGTGCGCCCCTCCTGGTCCCCAAAGGCTGAGCCCTGAGCACCCTTGGGGCAGCTGATTCAGAGGTGACTCCAGGCAGGTGTCACCCCAGGGGCCACTCCCTGGTCCCCACTGGGAGCCACAGGGAGGCAGAGGGCACTGCAGGGGCACTGCATCCTACGAGGCTCCCACAGGGTGCCCCGCACCTCGCGCTGTGCGGTGGCTACAAGGAGGAAGCAGGGCCGACTGTCACCGTGGATTTGGACTCCCTGAGCCACCCCAGGCCAAGCCCAGCCCTGGGAAGGACCCTGCGAGGCCCTGCTCGACGCCTCATCTGCAAACCCCACCCTCCACCCCGTTGGTGCAATAGGAATCGCTGGGGAGGGTGTGAGCAGGAAGGGCCCATGGGCCTGAGGAGCCACCTCCTCCCCTTCCCAGACCCCTGGGGACCACGGGGAGGCTCCCTACTGCCTCCTTCCTGCAAGAGTCCTCCTGGCCGTGCTCTCCCTCCCACCCTGCACTTCTGACTGGGGTTGCCTGCGACAGCCAGGCCCATGGTGTCGCCGCCCTCTGCTGGTGGGAGACCCCTGGGCAGGCCTGTCCGTAGTGCCTCCCTCCTCCTCTCAGCCAAAGCCTCGAAGACCCATCCCTCAGAGCCCTCGGCCCTTGGGGACACAGATGTCCCTGCTGTCCACTGAGATCAATGGCAGGTAGGTGTGAGTCCACTACCTGTCTTCCTCCTCCTCATCCTCCTCCTCCTCCTCCTCTTGCCAGCCCTGTGCCCGGACCAGGTCTTCACCGCACGGTCTGGGGAGCTCAACAGCCCTGAATACCCGTGGCCATACCCCAAACTCTCCAGCTGCACTTACCACATCCGCCTGGAGGAGGGGTTCAGTGTCATCCTGGACTTCGTGGGGTCCTTTGATGTAGAGTCACATCCCGAAGCCCGGTGTCCCTATGACTCCCTCCAGGTACGGGCCCTGGGGAGTCCCTCAGCCCTGAGGCACTGTCCCATCCTGTCCACCTCAGCGACCCCTCTTGGCCTCTCTTCGAGGTCTAAGGCAGGTTCCACATTGAGGGAGGGGCCGCTGAGGGTATGTTGGCTGTGAGCTCCGTGGAACTGGGGGCTCCCTCTCACTCGGCCAGGCCAAAGCTTTGGGCCTCTCCTGGTTCAGATCCACACAGGCAAGGGCGAGTATGGCCCACTGTGCGGGGAGACGTCGCCCCGCAGGATTGAAACAAAGAGCAACACTGTGACCATCACTTTTGTCACTGATGACTCAGGGGACCACACAGGCTGGAAGATCCACTACACGAGCACAGGTGAGCACAGAGCACAGCGCTAGAGCAGAAGCTCAGAGCTTCTGTCTCTTCTGGAGAGTCAAGGAGGTACAGAGGATGGGACGCTTCCAGGCCAGGCCAGGGAAGAGAGACAGGCTTGAGTTGGAAGGTCTGTGAGGCAATGGTCCTTGAAGGACAGATAGCAATAGTCCTTTCCTCCTTCCCTCCCTCCACCCATCCATCTCCCTACATCTATCCTCCCCTCTTCCCACTGCCCATCCACTCATCCGCACAGCCGTCCTCTCATCAACCCATCCATTCATCCACCCACCTGTCTTCCCAACTCACCCATCTATCCTCCCACCCCCTCATCCCTGTATCCACCCATCCATCCATCCTTCTATCCACCCACCCACTCACCCATCCCTGTATCCATCCACCCTCCACCCACCCATCTTCCCTTCCCATAGCTGTGTGGTAAGGATATGAAATGCTGAAGCCACCGTCCCCACGGCCTGTGCCCCAATTCAGTGACAGGAGAGCAGTCACTGCAACACAACTAGCTCTGTGACAAGCACAGCCCCAGAGCCAAGTGCTGGGCATGATGAGAGTCCAGAGGAGGGGTTGGTGCCTGGGCCAGGTGCCAGGAAGGCTGCCCCAGAAGAGGGAACCCCTGAGGCTAGATTTGAAGGGTGCGCAGGCGTGGAGGAGAGGAAGGGTGTTACTGCTCCATGCCTTCCCCCAGCCTTGGCTCTGCCCTCTGGGGTCCCTGCAAAACTCCCGCCAAGGCTGTGCCTGGAGGTCGGTTCCCCAGGGGAAGAAGGTCTGGGGCTTACAAGGGAGCAGGAGATGCATGAAGGGGCCTGAAGCCACCTTCAGCACCAGGGCGGAAGTGTGGGGGTCCTGGGGAGGGAAAGCTGGAGGTTCCCAGAGTCAGGCTGGATCTGAGTTTCTGGGGCTGGGACCCTAGGTATCTCCCTGTGCCCATGGTGTCCTGCGGGGCACTGGGACGTGTCACTGCCATCGCCGTTCCAAATCCTCAGCCAAGCACCGCCATAGGGAGTTTTCTTATGCTGGGGGATCAAACCCAGGAGTTCAAGCTCCACCGAACCATGCTCTCCAGCCCGACCCGTGACTTAGACATGTCTCTTTCCCCTGAAGTACTCTTGGTCTCAAGCCGTGTGTCATGGAACTCCTACACCATCTTTCCACATGCGCGGCTTTTTTACCTGGCTACAGCCAAGTCCCGGGCAAAACAACCGAGATTCATCTTTTATCCAGTACCAGAGATCGAACTCAGAGCCTTGCGCTTGCCAGGCAGGCGTGGCGCCACTAAGCTACAGCCCCGCCCTGAGGTTAATCTTGCCTTTCGTGTTAAGAACGCCACTGCATTGTGTCAGGGACTCCTCACCTAGCGTTTCGTTTATAAACCAAGAACATCAGATTTCCAAACCCAGACCTGGGGGACCCAGGTCACATCCACACCAGAGCCTGGTTTCCTCTGCGCAGCGCAGCCTTGTCCCGATCCGACGGCGCCACCTAATGGCCGCATTTCACCTGTGCAAGACAAGTACGTCCTCGGCGACAGCTTCTCCGTCTTCTGCAAGGTTGGCTACGAGCTTCTACACGTGAGTGACCAGGGACAAACGCCAGCGATCACGAAGTCAGACTCATGTTCCTGGTCCTATCCGATGGGCTAGGGTAGGGGCGGCACAGTGGTTTCTTGCCAGGGTTACAGTGGTAAAATGCAAAGAAATAAGTCAGGGCCGGGCAAGAGGGGTGGCATGGAGCTTTATTCCGGGTGTCCTGCTCTTTACATTTTGAAAGCATGTTTTTTGGCGCTGGATGGAGCCCAGAGCCTCGTGCACACCAGGCATGCGCAGCTCCACCCCCTGGCCTGCGAGGGGGCCCCACCCTTCGGAAAGCTGGTGATTAAAATGGGCAACTTTTCTGTCTGTTCACATGTTCCAGCAGCTGAAACAACAGAAAGACAAGTTCAAGTTCGCCACTCTCAATTCTGTGAGCTTGGAGAACACCTTGTATTAAATTAAGGTGTCCTCCCCCCACGTTAACTGATGACCTGCCCCTGAAACAACTCCTGGGCCCACAAAAAATGAGTTGGCCCTGGGAAAGAGTAGATTCTGCAAAGTTATAAATAGTGATCACTGTTGAGGGAGAGGGAGGGTAATTTTAAAAAATGCTTAGTGTGTTGCTTTCAGGGCACAGGTAAGAGATTAACACGTCCTTTTTATGTTCTTCAAAATTGTCACCGAATCCCAGTGGTGAAAAGTAATAACGTTGAAACGACAGCTAGCTATGCAGTCCGAAGTCCTGTGGAGGGTCAAACCAGGGAAACAATTTCCCACCTTGCACACTTCTTGGCCAGGTACTTTTCCTACCTCCTTGGATTGCAAATCTGTTCAGATTCTCACTTTTTAAAAATCTTGATACCTCTTAAAGCATAAACCTTCCACCAGCACCATCCTCTTTCATTTTTTAATGTTTGATTTTAGAAAAAAATAACACTATTTCAGGAAGTCAACAAAGTTTCCCTCTAGCAGGGTGTGGTGGCGCATGCTTATAATCACAGCACTCTGGGAGGCTGAGGCAAGAGGATCACACATTCAAACCCAGCCCAGGCAAGTTAGTGACTTAGCAAGACCCTGTCTCAAAACTTAAAAATTAAAACACAGGGCTAGAGGTGTAGCATAGTGTGAAGGTCTCAGGATCAATCTCCAGTACCACCACCACCACCAATGGAAAGAAAGCTTGCCTGTAGGTCACAGTTGGTGAACCATGTGCTGCAAAAGGCTCACGAAGTATCCCTAGTGGCTTTCCTCTAGCTCACAGACACAGGCCAGAAACACGGGTGCTCCATGCATGATTGGACCAGTCTTGTCCAAACTTTGGCGTTACATAAAGAACTGGTGGAATGTAGGCAGGAACTTAAGAGACGGCTGAGGCCTGCGTCCAGGGGCAGCGTGAAGCAGCGGGAACAGGCGGAAGAGGAAGAAGCACTGTGGGAGCCCAGTTCTGAGAAGGACTCGGTGTAAATGAGTTGTTTTCTCATTTCCTATTTAGGCTTCTCGGCCCCTGAAATCCTTTGTGGCAGTCTGTCAGAAAGATGGTTCCTGGGACCGACCAGTGCCAGAGTGCAGCGGTAGGGCCACACGGTGACAACTCCCTAACTGCTGCCCTCACTGCTTGTCCTTCCTGGCCCCTCCTCTGCTCCTGCCCCCAAAATTCCGTATTTCAGAGCTTGAAGTCCCAACCTGCTTCGCTTCCTCCGCATCCCAGTGTACTCAGGGTCAAAATGGAGCCATGCTACTTAGGAAAGTAGAAGTGTGCTCTGGAAATACTTTTTCCAAATATAACAGTAATACTTATAAAAGATGAAAAACAGGGCTGGGTGTGGCGGTGCATGCCTGTAATCCCAGCATTCAGGAGGCTGAGGCAGGAGGATAGGCTTGGGCTTTAGGCCAGACTCAACTACAAAATGTGACTGTCTTTTTTTTTAAAAAAAAGGTAGCAAACAGAAAGACATTTTAATTAACACCCATCTGCCACCAGAGGAGTGGTCACTGTCGCTACTCTGGTGTCTCCTCCAGTGAGAGGCTCACTATGCTTACAATTTGGGATGGGGTGGTTTGGTGCCCTGTGGGCACCACACACAGGTACACAACTGCACGAAATGGGTGTGCGTGTACACCACCACTTTGTAAACTAAGAGCTGTGTACATTCTCAGAGCCATGAGCCTGTATGACTGACTGCACTGCAGGAGGATCACAAGTGGGAGGCCAACTTGGGCAACTGGGCTAACGCGTGTCTCAAAACTTCAGAGAAAAAATTTTAAAAACACGGCTGAGGTGTAGCCAGTGGGAGAGCATCCCCGGGCTCCATCTCTAGTACAAGCAAAACCGACTGAGCATGCTTTGCTTCTCCCCTCGTCGGTCACCTCTCCACGTCACGCAGGTGGCGAGGACACCCCTCCTCCCCCACAGCCATGCAACAGGGCCCATCACGGCGCGTGCTCATTTGACTTCCTCCAAGCTGTGGCTCAGCCCTATTACCTACCCGCCTGCACCAAACATCTCTGATCATGTTTCTGCATGACACTAAAAGGCCTGCTTGAGGACGCAGCTCAGGGCTCCTTGGGTTCAATCTCCAGTCCAGAAGAGCAAAACAGTACAGTAAGCCCCTGACTCAGGAATGAGCTAGCTATGTTTTAAGAGAATGTTCCTAAATCAGATTCCTTCACAACGGCAACACAGCCTTACCCACCCGTAACACAAACACACAATGCCACACTGCTCTTCCCCGAGCACAGTGCCACTGCACAGGAGGCACACAGCGGTGAGTGTCCGGCAGACACAGGAGCTACCCTCAAAAATTGTCTGTACCTCTGGGAAAGTTCAAACGTTCGCACGTCAGGGACTTACCGTAGCGCTGAATCAGGGATGGCAGGACCCAGATTCTGCTGCTTTCTGTTGCGCACCTGTGACAAAACCCCCTCCTGCATTTTCTCACACAAGCAGTGCACCGCACCTTTGGGGAGAAGGCAGGCAGGGAGGAGAGCTGGGCACACAGCACGGCGGCATGGCATTGGTGAAGCCACCTAATTGAAAAGCAACACTTGGTCACCTGTATTGAAAAATTACTGCAAGATTGAAATCATGGCCTCTTTCCTGCCAGGCACTGGTTATTTCACACCACTGATGTTCTAAGAGCTGTGAATTCTAGTCCAGCTCCAGGGGTGGAGTGGAGGATGAAATCAACATCTCTCAAGCCATTTTACTTCCTCCCTCAGGTTTTCTAAAAGGTCCAATTTATAGAAATGACCGTAAGGACAGAGTCCTTCAGTCTGTCTCTGCTTTCTTCTCTGTGGCAGTTCTGCGGCAGTCCAGTTTTTATGGCAGCAAAAATACTCCGCAGTATGAGGGTGGGAGTTGATCTCAGGGTCTTCACACTGAGCTACACCTTCAGTTTTAAGACTGGGTCCAAGTCACCCAGGTTGGGCTTGAATTTGTGATCCTTCTGCCTCAGCCTCCCAGATGCTAGAATTACAGGCGTGCATACCTTTCAAATTCCACCCCTTTGCCAGGGATGTGGCTCAGTGGCACAGAGCCTGCCTCATAAGTGCAAGGTCCCAAGTTTGACCCCCCCCAAAACACAATCTGTCCCCTTCCTTTGGGAAAGTATCCTGTTCTTGCCCCCAGACAGAAACTCCCCCCACCCCAGCCCAGCCATCTGTGGAATGTGGATGAGCAAGGCCAACACTTTAACCACACTAAAGCCAATTCCTGTGTCTGGAGGTGAAATAAATGGTCCACAGCACACAGGAACTGGAATGTGGCCGCCCGATGGCAGCACAGGGCCCAGCCACCCTTCTAGTGCTGTTCACGGGTCTCCAGACTCACTCTGCAAGGCAGGGCATGGAATCGAGGGTGAGATGCCAGGCCAGGGCTCTACCAGAGCAACACCGTGTCAGATCTGAAGGGCAAAGGACCCCCCACTTCCTTTCCAGTTGTCGACTGTGGCCCTCCTGACGATTTACCCAACGGCTTTGTGGACTACGTCACAGGCCTGGACACCACCACCTACAAAGCCGGGATTCAGTACAGCTGCAGAGATACCTTCTACACCATGAACAGCAATGACGGTGAGCAAATGTTTTACAAGTTGGAGATCAGTGGTATTTGGAACTCGAGCCTTTGTGGCCCGAAAACAAACTAACATTTTTGACTAAGGGAGACAAAGGATTAAAAGGCACTTCTCTCATCCACTAAGTGAACTATTACAGCTAAAGTGACTTTAATGTCAATTTGTGAGAATTGAAAACAGATCTTATCTAGTAAATGACTACCACAAACACACAATATATTCCAAATGGTTTAATTTAACAAGTCAAAACCTTATCATTAAGCACTTGAGATTTTGATACATATTCAAGTTACACATCTAAAAGGTTTCCACTTTGCAAGCAAACATGGTAATGCAGACTTCCTATTTATGAAATCATGTAAAACGGTATCACGCACCCCTACCTCCCACCCATGCTCCAGAATCAACATTTTTCAAGGGGGATTTGAGCAAATGACAACCACTCATGCATGCAGTTAAATAGTTTTGCTTTTCCAATGATTTGCAGGTAAATATGTATGTGAGGCTGATGGATTCTGGACGAGCTCCAAAGGAGAAAAATCGCTCCCTGTCTGCGAGCCTGGTAAGGGGCACATTTACACAGAGATGGGCACTGACAGAGCAGCATGGGGCGGGAGACAATGGGCAGAGCTTCAGCTGTGGCAGGCAGAAACCTAACGTGCACTTGGCTCTTCGGCAAGTTATTATTCCCAAGTATTACGTTCTCATTACCCTTTCCATACGGAGAGGCTGTTAGGTGCTGGCTGCGTTAGTCATTTGATTATTTTTGAACTTGTAACTAGGCAAGCATAAAAAATTAAATGATTTTTAAAATTATCTCAAACCATTTATACATTTATAAACATGAATTCCTCTGTTGAGTTACTTTTCTTCTCTGTAAAAATGCTATTAAAACCCAAAGCTAATAACTTCATTATTTCTCTAAGCAATTGTTTTCAATGACATCTAGGTTTTTAAACAT